ATTTTACTTGAATCAACATTCACTGAAGCAGCAGTCAAGAAATCAAATGACGCATTGCATTGGGTAAATCTGCTGCAAAAGACCTCTTTAAAGTTTTAAAAAGCAAAGATGTCACTTTGAGAACTAAGGTGCACCGAACCCAAGCCATGGTATTTTCAATCACCTCATATATAAGTTGGACAATGAATAAGGAAGATCAAAGAATAATTTATGGTTTTGAATTATGGTGCTGTCAAAGAATACTGAATACACCACAGACTACCAGAAGAACCAACAAATCTCTCTTGGAAGAAGTACAGCCAGAATGCTCATTAGAAGCACGAATGGCAAGACTTCGTCTCACATACTTCAGACATGTTATCAGAAGGGACCAGTCTCTGGGGAAATACATCATGCTTGGTAAAGTAGAGGGTCAGCGAAAAAGAGGAAAACCCTCAAGAAGATGGACTGACTCAGTGGCTGCAACAATGGGCTCAAATATAGCAACGACTGTGGGGATGGCACAGGACTGGGCACTGTTCTGTTCTGTCGTACACAGGGTCGCTATGAATCGGAACCAACTCGCCAGCACCTGACAACAAGTATATAAGAACAAGATAAATGTTAAGGCAGACGCCCATGATTGGGAGTACTGAGTATATCATCTTCCTGAAAAAAAGTATAAAGCAATTTTGTCCAGATATGACAAGTGGCAGAGTTTCCAGAAAACTGGTAGCTGCTTTTAAAATGATTTTCTTTTTTCCAAATTAGGGTCTTCACATGGCTATACTTTTCCTGTCAAGAATGATGATTATAGCCAAAAGGGGATAAAGTTTTAGGATATGGTTTTGAAAATGAGTATTGGATTTTGACACTACAAACTTGAGAAAAAAAAAATGAATGTGACTTCAATGTCAGAAAATGGTTGCTGATGATAACTTATATAACTCTATCTTCTCTAAATTATTTCTCAAATAGCACAATTTTACAAGGTTTATTGCCTATGTTATTTATTTGGTATCCATCATTTCTGTCAAATATGAAGGACTATCGTCATTACAATTTATGGTATATACTGTATGATACATACTATGCAAATACTTCAATTATTTACTATGCACAGTTATGGTGGGATTTTTTGGATTGTTTTATTTGCTTTAGACTGTTTCTTAGTCATTATTCTATGGGCTCTAAAATAATAATGGTTTGTTTTGTATATACTTCTGTATTTACAATTTTCTAGTTCTATTCATAATTACTTGAGGTCAGTTAAACCTAGTTAAGAATATTCAAATCCTACATAGTTCTGAGCTCCATAAACCACCAATGATATATACTGTTTCTCCCAGAGGTCCTAGTGTTTCTCTTCATTTTGACCTTGTTGGTGTTGGAGCCTTTACAAACATACAGCTCTACTTAGTCTTTTCCAAATTTCTAAGGCACAGCGTTACCACTTGTGGTTAGCTCTTCTCAGTCACTGCAAGAGTCGGGTAGTATCATCTACAATAAGAACACATACATAATATCATATCTCTGAGAGGTACCTCTAAGACTGAACTTCCTTAAACATTCATAGTGAGTCAGTTTCCGTAAGTGCTAAATGAATGAATGAATAGCAATGTTACTGAGAGTTCAATTTTCAGACATTATTCAGAATGCGAAACAGTCTTTATGCAAGGAAATATATCTGTTGCCATTTAATCACAGAGGTCTAACCTAAAGTAGGAATACAACTTTTTCTAAACTTATTTCAAATTTATTCATGGGATCCATCTAAAGCATAACACTCATTTTAACACTCCCCTGCTCCAAAACCCTTATTTCCATCACCACATCCCCACCCTCGTTTCATATTAAATAAAGTCAAAACTCCTTATAGTATGTAGTGATGGGAGAATAATTCAAGTTGTAGATCAGGAGAAAAAAAGCTAGAAATGTAAGACACTCAAGAGTCTCCACCATCTGACCCCACTATACCGTCTCAATTATTTCCCACTACTTCTCATCAAATGCTCCAATAAACATAAACCACTCTCACTCCCTAAAGTGTTCTGTCTGTGCTTTAAGCATCCTCTTTCCTACATTACTTCCATAAGCCTCAGTCTCCTAATCTGTAAAATAAAGATAATAATATCTCCCTCAAGGGATTATTGTTGAGGTTCAGTGAGATAATACACGTGAAACACGGAACATTGTGTCAGGAACTTAGAAGGTGTTCCATAAAGGATGGAATGATACCTACCAATATTATCATTGTTGGTATGGTTTCTTTACTACTATGAGGATTCATAAAGCCTCCCAACTACCAGGCAGAAGTAACTGTTTCTTCCTTGCTATCTTGATTTTAGCACAGGTATTTGGTCTCCTCTCTCATGATTATATGTATATATGTCTTACTTGCCTTTCTAGAGTGTAAGTACTTTGAGGACAGGAGTTATGTTTTATTATACTTTTTTTTAATCCTCTAAAATTTCTATCATAGACAATCTATGGGCTCACAAACAATTACTGAAACACCTCATTCATATTCCATAAATGTTTGCTATTTGGTTTCTTAAGTGATGTAAAAAGTTCTTTACCTCCAGCTTGAAAACTGATCAATGTTCATGAAACATCCAGGAGGCTGTGATGGTAACTATAGTGCCAAGTCAAAGCAAGAACTTTAAAGGGGTAGGGAAGGTAGAGATCTGTGTTTTCCAAATACAACCTGGATGACATTTTTAAAAGCATGGGAAGACAGAGAAGAAAACACTCAAAGGGAGAAGGACTGGGTAAACTTTATAGAAATTTAAATGTCACACTCACTTTCGGGAATTTTTTTTCATCCAAAACAAACCTCATTATTATTCAAACAAACCTCAATCAACTAGGATTCTCCCATGTGTTCTTTCCACATTACGTACTTCATAATTGCAAAGAAGTTGTGGGATTACTTAGAGATGCTGTAAGAGCAATTTTGTAAAACATATATTCATTAACCAAGGAATTGTGGTCTCTTTCAAAATTATATCACATTTTTTCTTGTACCTATTGTTTATCTTTAACGTTTTATGATAAACAAGAATTCCTACATTCAACAACCATTATTACACTCAAAAATATTACTGAGCATTCACTAAGTGCCAGTTACTACATTGTCACTAAAACAATGTACAACCCTAAGGGAGCATACGGTCTAATAACTATGAGTGAATTAACTATTATCTTTACAATTCAGGAAAGAGGATATCTGTATTTGATTTCTAAAATATTTAGTGTGAGTACAGTTCATTACATTAATTCTAAATTGGAAAATTAATATGGCAAAGAGACTAGTAGAGAGAGCAAATGATGTTGAGTCAAAGTCCTCGGCAACAAAATATTGTTCCCAGACCCCTTAGGTTCATTTGTTTGTTCATTTGTTTTGGTAGAAAAATTTAGCAATGACTCCAGTATCTTGTATGGGTCTCAGTTTTCTGCACATACTTTTTTTTTTTTTTTTTGAACATTTTATTGTGCTTTAGGTGGAACACACACTGTCTTTTGATCAAATTGTATAAGCATTATCGAGCCTGTGAATTGTTACTTGAAAAACATTTAAGTGAAACTTAATTCTGGAATGGAAATGCTAAGGTTTCAGTTTTCGTCTATTTCAAATGGTAGTGGCCTAAAGGACAAGTCTGGCTGGTGTGCAAATTTAAGAATATCAAGGAACTAGATATACTGCCCATGAGGACTAGGAGTGGGTCCAGCCAGTTCTGTGTGCTGACGGTCAGGCACAAGTGTTTCCTCCAACAAATACTTAATTAACCAAATCATTTCCCTTCACAATCTGTTTCTTGAGTCAAAAGTGAAATATTGTGCCATGTAACTTTCCAAATAATTCTTATTATAAACTTGCCAACTGAAAAAGGATAGATTTTTGTTGTCTCAAAAAAAATCAAATACATAAGAGAAAATGACTGGGAATAAGATCCTCTTGACACATAAGATTCAACGATATATGTACATCAGGCCTTCAATGAACAGTTAACCAACCAGGATGAGAATGGTGATCACACAGTGATCTCAAATTATCAGAATGGGTTTCTCAGCTACTAGCAGTGATCCCTGCTAGAGAACTTTATAAAGACGATCCATGAACTTCATTTCAAAGTAAGGACCCTTTCTGTTTGTCCTTTTGAGCCAGGAAGTAAAACTTATCATGGCCAACCCTTTTATTTAGAAAAGGGAAGGTGTGGTAATTGGTAAGAAACATATAACAAAAATGATAATTATTTACCCTTAAATAGCAACATGAGCTTCAACATTTTAATGATAGGATACTACACATTTACTTCCTATGTACAACACTGAAGATTGACTATCATGTCTTCACAATGTTTAAATGTGTAACTTTATAACTGGGGAAGAAAACACTTATGACTTAACTGGACACTACTTAGCATGCCAAAACATGGGCAGTCCTCCTGGCTCTCCAAGGTGAAGAAAGATCAGGTGACATTCTAATGGCCAGTCAATAAACACAGGGATAGCCATCAGCCAGTTGGTATCTTGGAAATATTTTCCCATATATTTCTGTGAGTTACTAACATATTCTAATGAATATGAGAAAGTGGGTGCAATCAATAGAAAATTCTCAACAATAGGAAAGTAAAAGGATACGAAAATATATATCATGCAAAAAGTACAAGAAGAAACCTGATACAGATAACAATACCAAGTATAGAACATAAGAATCTAGATAGAGGATATATATAAATTCTTTCACATTGTCTGAAAGTTTGAAATTTTGATTTTAAAAAATGTAGGAGGAAAAGGCAACTACAGAAAATGTCATAAACTGGACAGAGCTTCGGCTTTAAATTCAGAACTGAGGTTTGAGTGCCAACTTGACTCTCCAACATGAACTTCTGAGCAAGTTACTTTGCTGTCCTCAGTTCTGCTTTGTTATTGTTGCTGTTGTTTTATTCTGTAAAATGAAGATATTAACACTTACCCTACAGGGTTGTAAAGATGTCTAATCAGAAAAGGATACTTACCGGTTCTTCAATAGCTTCAAATTCTTCGTGCATTTGAAATTCCTCGTCTTGGTCATTCCAGGGATCACCACGCTTTTGGAAAGGATTTTTGCAGTGAGTAAAAATATCTGAAATCGAGGAAAAACCTCAAATGCTCTCATTCAACTCTAGGATTTCATGTTTGGACAAGTAAATGTTTCCTGACTGAATTTTGTATATAAGTATTCTACATTTATTTTTCTTTACATATACAAACAGAAAAAGCCAAACCCATTGCCATCGAGTCGAGTCTGACTCCTAGCGACCCTATAGGACATAGTAGAACTGCCCCATAGGGTTTCCAAGGAGCAGCTGGTGGATTTGAACCACCAACCTTTTGGTTAGCAGCTGTAGCACTTAACCACTATGCCACCAGGGATCCTTCTTTATATATATGTATAATATACTCATCAGGACATTATATAACTTGATATTATATACGCCTTCTACTTCCGAATAATATAATATGCTGGGCACTACTTTGAAAATTCATACATAGCAAAACAGTAACAGTCCCCAAAATAGTAACAGTACAAAAGAAGCAAATTTTCTAATTTTACATTTAGTTTTTTTCTTCTCATGACTATTTAAAGGAGCCCTGGTGACACAATGGTTAAGTGTTCGTCTGCTAACGGAAAGGTTGGCAATTCAAACTCACCCAGCAGCTCCTCAGGAGAAAGACCAGTGATCTGTTCCCGTAAAGATTACAGCCTAGAAAACCCTATGGGGCAGTTCTGCTCTGCCATATGGTGTCACTATGAGTTGGAATCAACTCGATGGCACCTCAATAACAAGACTATTTAATCTATCATAGGCACTTTGAAGAAGAGACCATCAATAGAATTGAGGAAACTTAAACTCTAGAAAATGACTCCACTTTTAAACCTCCAAAAGAAGACCTACCAGCCAGCAAAAAGTTACTAGATTCAAAGTGGAGGGTTTTAAAAAATAATTTTATCCATTCACTATAAAAACTAAAGAGACTGGCACAGAACCCACTGAATGAGCTTACACGATGCTTCATCATCACCATCACCACCATCAATTATAGCTCATTACATCAACTCCAAAGAGAAGGAGTTTGGCTTGAAACACCAACACAGCTGAGAAACACTGTGATGATTTGGCATGCAGAACACAGATTTAATTTTTGCTGCTTTCTATCAGAAGTAATTTTTGTAGCATAAAGTAGTGTAATAGATGTACTTAACACAGTCATAAAGAAGGTTTAAATTTGAGCTTGCTTATCTTTTGGAATAAGCTTTTTGGGAAACAACTAAGCACTTTTTTATAGTGTGCCTTTTAGGAATTTTTAAAGAATGAATAGTGTTTATTAGCAAAATGAATTTGTTAATTAGAATGTTTATTGTCTTAAAACACAGAAAAACCCTGCTTGGATACATCTTTCAAAAGTTTACCTTTTAAGGAAGCTTGACTTCCCAGTATCTAAAACAAACCAGTTCAAATTGTTGACATTTTGAATTTTCCTACAATTTTATGTCTTTTTTGGCACTGAAAAACTGAAACATCATTTCTTTAGTCTTTCTTTACGTTAAGCTCCACTGATTCATTCCCATTTCTTTTCTTAGATATAACAGAACAATAAATTTATATATGGACATACATAGAAAATACACAAGAATAAGTTATATTTGTATGCATTTTTGTTTAATTTGAAGGTTCCCCCTTAAAAGATCATCCCCAAAGGTATATAGCTACAGAGCTGAGAGAAATTGCTGTAATAAAGAACACCACCAATGCATTTTTCCCAATGCTAAATGGCTTTTCATACAAATAAGAGAAAGAAAAAAAGAGAACAATACAGAACTTTCAATACACATTGTGCATATTAACAACATAGCCAAAAAGAAATTTTACTATGAGTTATCATATCTACTGTTTCTAGAACAGTAGTTCTCAACCAGAGGTGATTTGTCCCCAAGGGAACTTTGTAATATCTAAAGACAATTTTGGTTATCATGAATGGGGTTAGGGGCTTCTCCTGGCATCTAGTAGGCAGATGCTGGGGATGCTAAACATCGTACAGTGCACAGGACAACCTCCCAAAGCAATTAATTATTCATCCCAAAATGTCAATAGTGGCACTGTTGAGAAACCCTGCTCTAGAGAAAGAAAAAAAGTCCAATTCCAAAGCCTATGTAGTTCACTAAATATAGACAATAAAATAACTAATGAAGGTGGTAATATGCATAACAATCTACAGATTAAAACTGTGGTATCTGAGGCTCTAATAAACCTCTCCGGCCTCACTTCAGTTTGTGGGCTTCCAAGCTGACAAAACAGAGTACCGTCATGTTGTTTATAGAAAATGTTAGTACATCTTCCTTGTGATGAAGACAGGACATGATCTGATGAAGACAAACACCATAAGAAAGATTAACAAGGCTGTGTGCTACTAGTCCTTGAACTCAAATTAGGAATTAACTTTTCTCACCAAGGAAGTAGGAAATAGGGTTGCTTCATAGGACTTGTAGAATGTGGGCACAAAGGGGGTAAATGCGGCTAAAACCCAACCCAGGCTCCACCTGCAGAGCTGTATCCAGATAGAGCAAAGGCCACCCTGTGGTGCTGTCCACCCAGACAGGGAGCCTTTTTGAGTTCATCCTACCGCTAATCAGGACGGCTCAGCGACTATTGCAGAAAACACAAAATGCTAAATAAAGCAGAGAAGAGAAACACTGAGCAACACTCCAAAATTTAAACAAATAAAAAGCTTTCCCAGTGTTCATGATTCTTCTCTGGATTAAGTAAGGGGTGGGGTGCTGAGGGAGGGGGGACAGCTGATGATGGCATCATACACATCTGAATCATAGTACTTTGTGGCTATAGTGATAGGGTACGATGACAATTCCCATTATAGAATCTTACATCTTAAATAAACAAATCTAGAATAGGATTACTAAACGCAAACGAGTGAAAATGAGAAGATCCAAACATAGCTAAGAGCACTAGGGAAAAGGGGAGAGCAATAGAAGGACAAGTTAGAATGCAAGCACAAGACAAGAAGATGAATCCCCAAACCAAAAAAAAAGTGGTTTCGGTGGCTTTTTACATGATTTGATAGCCCAGGAGGAGACATTTCTTGAGGACTTTAGAATATAGACTGGGACTGGACACCAAGTAAACAAATAGAGCTGAGTCTCAATATTTTTCTAGAGCATACTAGGTAGCTAAGATTTCATAGGAAAAACTAGATAAAGCCTTTCCTTAGGAAGAGCAGGTGCATACATAGAAACTGAGTATAAAGGTCCTAAACAATAACATGATGATTCCTGTGACCTGACATAGAAAAAAGAGGAACCCAACTTGGACTAGGAGCCCTGGTGGTGCAGTGGTTAAGAGCTCAGGTTGCTAATCAAAAGAAAAGGTCAGCAGTTTGAATCCACCAGCCACTCCTTGGAAACCCTATGGGGCAGTTCTACTCTGTCTGTAAGGTTGCTATGAGTTGGAAACAACTCGATGGCAACGAGGTTTTGGGTTTAACTTGGACTAGAACACAGACAACTGATTACCCTGGCCACACTGACTAAAGCTGTTAATCAGATTCTAACAAAAAGATCTGAAGGAAATTGGCAGAACCGTGTTATAATAATTTTCTTTGGTAAATTTCAGGAAGCTCAGCTGTATACAGTCAGCTGTGCAAGAAACATTGTATTTCAACATTTTATGTAAACCAGCTCTGGATCCCCGTTGACCATGCTGATAGGAAATTCAACCCAATCACTCTTTGGGCTCCTCCTCTCTCCCCACCCCGCAAGGTTGTGCAGAGGTCCAGGGAAGGCCTGTGGTCACTGGCAATCAGTCTGTACTGACAATCATTCTCCTAGTCTCATCCATGCCACATGTGGAACATGAGAATCTTTAGGGAGGATGGGAACCCAGTTGTAAGGGCTTGTTGCCTCCCTGGGATGCCAATATGGAAAAAGGGACCATTCGTGGAACCCACAAACCTCTACCCCCTTCCCAATCTCTGGGAAGTTTTCCTATCTCTCTTGTGCTCAATAGCCTTCTCCCTCTAGCATTTCCTCTTCAAAACGTTTAGGTATTTGTCAAATAAAAGAACTTTTGAATTGAGGCCTTCTGCTTTCATCAACAAGTCTAGCAATGTACTTATACTGGGGAAAAAGGAAAACTACAAACAGAAAGGCATACTAAAATTAATATTTAATAAATTATCCTTTTACACATCATTTATTTGTTACTTCAGTGCATGAGCTCCACCAGCTGGTAAAAGCAGATATAGTCCCATCAGTATATAAATATCAGTGCTCCAACTACCCACCTGCTAGACCATGGGGAGTTCAGTCTTTGTTACAGGACCCAAATCACATGGGTGCCTGTGTTAACAAATCAGAACTGATTTCACCATTCCACAATAGTGATGACTGAGCTCCAGCGAGCTAGCCCAAATATGGAATTCCACTTTCATCTTCTTTGCTGCTACCACTAAAGAAACTATTGCCAAGTCAAGCTGGAAATCTGCTACATTCAAAGTTGACAAAAGTGGCACCATCACTGGGTTGGCAATAAAGTTGGCAATCTACATTATTGCTCTTGAAGTGTAAGGAGAATGAGTCTTCTGTGTTACATTCAACAGAGGTTGCTTGAGATACAAAGTATTCTAGTGATTAGCTTTTCCATTGGTCACCCCAGCAAACTAAGCTGAGATTTCAAAGCTCACAACAGGGCACTGCCCCTGCATGGCAGACACTTCCTCTGGTTACAGCACCATCACCAACACTGCAACATCATTTCTATGAAAATTTCCCAGCAATGAGGTGAGAAGTAGTAAAACTTCCCAGAATCAGCCACCTAGCCATAAGTAGAAACTATACTCCTCTGCTAACTCAGGTTCCAATGCTGGATTGCCAGACTCCATTTCCATTTTTTCTCTCCAAACTAGCATTTATTGGGGCCTCCCTAACCATCAAACTGTCTAAACCCCACTGATGAACAGAAATTAAGACTTTTTCTTCCTGGGCTCCAAGACCTCTATGTACATTAAAAGATACAAATGAATACTTGGAATTGGGCCCTACCCAAGTCTGTTTGCTAGAAGCAGCCAGTC